CTACGTGCATTTTTGGTGCAGAATAGATTCCCTTTTTAGGGTGCTTTATTGGTAAGCAAGGCCTTAGAGCGGATCCCGCCAAGGTAAAAGCCATTGTTGATTGGCCGGTTCCAAATAACCAAAAGGACTTACGTAAGTGGCTTGGCCTCGCCAATTACTTACACAAGTACTGTGCGAATTATGCAGACATGGCTCGACCATTGACCAATCTCCTTAAAAAGGATGTAGAATGGTGCTGGACTAGCACTGAGCATGATGCTTTTCAAGCAGTCAAGGAGAGTCTCCTACATGCGCCCATATTGACTTTGCCTGATCCTGAGCGATATTTCAGTGTCGTCTGTGACGCATCTGACTTTGCCATCGGCAGTGCTCTGTTACAAACAGATGATGATGGGCGGGAACACGTTATTGCGTTTGAGTCCCGGCAGCTGAAAGCAGCTGAAAAGAACTATCCTGTTCATGACAAAGAGCTACTTGCAATGAAATATGCTTTAGTCGAATTCAGAGTTCATCTGCTTGGCTCTAAGCCTATTGTGATCTATACAGATCATGCGTCATTACGCACTGTGACCCAGTCGCCTCACCTCTCTCAGAGAATGGCTCGTTGGCTCTCATTCTTTACCGAGTACAACTTCGAGGTGAAGTATAAGCCGGGCAAGCAAAATGCTTTTGCTGATGCGTTGTCACGTAGACCTGACTATGAGCTTTCTCATGTTACGACTCTGTCGTCACCGGTAACAGACCTAATCCGCACGGCATTTGCCAAAGATGAACATTGTGTAGCTTTGCTACGTGCTCTAGGGAGCGAGGAGTTTCAAGACTCGGACATAAAATTGTCGGCACGTTTACGTGCGAGGTTACATCGATATTCCATCGATCAAGGCCTGTTGTGCTATAGCACGGATATGGAGGATACTCCCCGTATTGTTGTACCTCATGATGAGTAATTGAAGTATCGGATCCTCTATGAGGCACATGATACTGCGGTGAGCGGTCATCTCGGTCGTGAAAAGACCTACGGCTCTGTGAGCCAATGCTATTGGTGGCCCAAACTATACAAATGGGTAAGCACATACTTGCGTGCGTGCGAAACGTGTCAACGGGTGAAACCCTCACCACATGCGTCTGCGCCGCTCGCTAGTTTGCCTATACCCAAAGGGTGTTGGGAGTCCATCAGTATGGACTTCCTGTTCGGTTTACCGAAAGATAAGCAAGGCAATACGGGTATTGTGGTCTTTGTTGACCGTTTGAGCAAGATGAATCATTTAACGGCGGTGCCAGACACCATTGATGGTGAAGGTACAGCGACGCTGTTTATCGATCGCGTGTTTCGACAACACGGTCTGCCGTTGGCAATTGTCTCTGACCGAGACCCTCGCTTCACTGGGAAGTTTTGAAATTCCATCTTCAAGGTGCTCGGCACACGTTTGGACATGTCGACAGCGGATCATCCGCAGACCGATGGTCAAACCGAGCGAGTCAATCGCGTTATCGGTGACATCTTGCGCAGCGTTTGCGCTAATACACCAAAACGTTGGAGTTCGATACTCCCTGTCGTTGAGTTTGCGTTGAATAACGCTGTGCATGCCTCCACCGGCTACACCCCGTTCTACGTGAACGGTCTCACACACCCTCGCGTTCCGTTGACGCTACCACTGCGTGGTCAAGGGCTTGGTGGGGGAGAGATGGCCGATCGGCTTGCAAATATCAGCCCTGCTACTGTTCATAAACAGGTAAGCGAGTTTCTCGCAACGCGATTGAATGTCTTACGACACGTACGTGATGCACTGGCTGATAGCCAAGATAAATAAACGGAACAAGCTGATGCTAAAGAAAGAGGATTTATTGAACGTTCTGAGGTCAGAGACCAAGTTCTACTAAATGCTAAAAACCTACCTACAAATGTAGTATCCGCCGTCTTCAAGACGAAGTTGCGCCCGCGCTTCATTGGACCCTTTACGGTCGTCGCAAAGAAGGGACTTGCGTATACGCTCAACCTTCCGCGCAAACTGCGCACACACCCCGTGTTCTACGTTGGCATGCTTAAGCCGTATCGGGATCCGTCCCACGTGAACTTGGAGGCACTTGCGCCGGGTAGGTTGGCTTTGCCATCGGTTGCTGAATCCGTATCAGGAGGTCAAGCTGAGCCTCCATCCGGGCTTGGCCCAACTCCAACGCCCGAACACGGGCTCGCATTGCGTCGAACGCACTCTGGGTCTGACCCAACGTCTCAAGGAGACCGCTCAGCTCGAGAAGCACCTTCTCGTGCTCCTTCTTCGGTATACCGACCACCTCCGACGCTGCTCGATGAGCAAGGGAACCGCCAGTTCCATGTGGAACGAATCCTGAAGCGACGTCGTCGTCAGGGTCAATACCAGTATCTGGTAAAGTGGCGAGGGTGCCCGGAGTCCGAGAACTCGTGGGAATTTGAGGTACCCCTTCGGCAGGATTGCCCATACGCCGTTGATGTTTTTGAACATCGTGGCAGGGGTCATCCTTCGACCGATATCGCTTCCAACCAATAGTGGTGGAAGCAGGTGAGTAGTTGGGTACCGCTTGACCAACACCCACACCAACCGGCACAGCCTAGCCATAGCGTGTGCGAGTTCGCAACTGGACTCTGGCATTAAGCTTGGCATAGTCATACCGAAGCTTTCGTTCGAGACGAACATCTGCCACATTGGCACTTGCTCTGAGAGCTAGCATGCTGCTGAGGTGACATTTCCGGTGCACCCAGCGCACAAAAGTGTTGTTCTCCTCCTTTGGAGATTCGCCTGCGAATAAGAGGATGGGTATACCCCTCATCGGTGGCACCGGTGCACCCCGTGCTTGCGTGTCAAGTCGCAACTTGTATTGACTCAGAGTCGTCAAGTGGGGTCGCAGGTACCTCTCACGAAGCGCCTGTCGGCTCGCCACTTCATCAGAAGATGTCGGCTCAGCGCCAATGGCCCACGTTGCCAAGGAACGACCTGTCGTTTGGCGTATACGCTCTTCCACATTGAGTGGCGTGAACTGATAGCCACGACTACCCTCAAGGTCTGCAGCAAGCTGCATACGGCGCTGAGCGCTCTCCTCTTGTTGGATTACCAACTCTTGTTGCTCATCGAGCGGGTTGGTGATGATGTGTTCACCTGCATCTGTTGCATGATGCTGGGTTTCTAACGCGGTGGTATCACCACGCTCGGCAAATGGGTTTGGTGCAGTATGAGGCGATGCCTCTTGCACTGGTGAGTTGGACATTGTCCGTTCTTTACCACGGACATCGGTATCACTACCATAGTCCTCCTCCACATTAATGCCGAGGTAAGAAGAGAGAGTCGGGGACTCGTAAGGTGGCGATGCCATGGTGTTTCGTGTTTTGCAAATCGTGAGGTTAGAGCGCACACACACCGTCCTCTTCGAGGAAAAGTTCGATTGACGTTTTGTGGTAACGTCAGTCTGGTGGGGGAGGGTGTAACGGGGTTACACGTCGGCTGGTAGCCGACGATAGGTGTGGTGCGCACAAGAGAGGGGTTACCCTATAAAGTAATTTTAGAACACAGTGAGTGTATCAATTGTTGAAGACTGGTGTCTGTCATCAATTGATTGCAAGATCTTTTAAGAGGTTATTTAGGGCAGGTTAAACAAGTTGTTCTAAGGTGTTCTTTTAGGTTAATTACAGAAATAAAATTCAGTTCCCATTTTGATCAACATAGTACACGTGCCTTGCGAGGCGTCTTGATCGGAAGAGCTAGCAACGCCTGTAAAGGTAGCTACTCTTGAGCACTCTGTGCTGTGATTCATTTGAATCGTTTGGTCCCTCTGGAACGGGGACCGTAAGCTCTCTGAGCTGTTGACTCTCTGAGTCGAGTTCGTAGAACCAAAGTTGCTCGTAAGAGCGTTAAGTCTTCCTCTGACTTAAGGAGCTGTGTAGCTCCGCTACAGTGGTGTTTCTACAAAACAAACACGATTGGTAAGAGTGTAAAAATACATCTATTTTTAATCTTTGTCCTAAGTCCCTAAATCAAGTATCTATGTTTTTACTTAAACTATGTTAAAGTATAAGAACCTGATACAACTAACTACTTTGCACTGCGCGCGATTGGTGGTTTATTTCATCGGCATACTGGCCTATATCACTCAATAATTTTAGCAATGCAGTTCATTATTCTTTAGAGGTAATTTTTCAGAAATGCTCGATCGGCAAAAAAGTCAAAATATGTTGATCAAACTAATGATAAAGATGAATCTGCAAAAAATATTCCATTACTTTATATATTTTTTGCCTACCCTTTTTTCGTGTCAACCACATATATGGCGAGCTCACTCCGTTACAGTGATCGCTGTAACGGATGGATGTATCCGTCAATGTTAGCCGTTGCTGACCACTGAGAGACTGTCAGAAATGGTCGTGACGGTTATTTATCAACTGCACCGCTCAATACTAATCCTTTGTGTTCTGTCTGCAAGCGTATGTGCAGCTATGAGCGCCCATGTAGACGTCTTTTGATCGAGCATGGTTGCTTGCATTTCGTGTAGAGTACGCGTCCCGCACGCCGACAGAGGTAACGACCAAGGAGCATTCTGTACACGGCGAGTGAGTGACCGCCGACTGCTATGTTAAGGACGATGCTTGTTGTTCATAGGCTTTCCAATTGCAGTCGTTGTTGTTCAGTTCGCTTAGCTTGCTCGTAAGAAACCTGTGCGGTACGAAGCAAGCGCGTTACACTTCATCAATCGAGGAACGTGTACTCAATTTTTGGACCAGCTGCCACAGTTTAATGTTACGACGAAAGTTGTAGTCGATCAAAGCGTATTCAACGTCGTTACTTCTACGATGCTAAGGAAAGGGCGAAACAGACAATCTATCACTAACTACACTGACTTTGCTTTTGCATTAGGCTACAAAACGTCAGGGTGGGCGGCACAACCATCTGCGTCCTGCGACTCAGATTCTGGCTTCGACCACGCTCAAGTCATTCGCTGCGCACATGACATGATCGTTCCTCAGTCCCTCCAATTTACTTCTTGGCGATGAGCTTGACGAGCTCGTCATACTTGCCCTGAACGAAACCCAGCAACTGAATTTCCTCCTCCTCGCTGTAGCTCTTGCCATCTGCCTTTCGGTAGGCTTTGATATACTCGAATGCCGGTGTGATGAAACTGTCATACAGTTCCTTCATCCCATGCATGTGCCTCCTGCTGTATCGCAAAAAGTATTCTTCATGGCCAGTCAGCAAAATCTTGACAACATCATCAGGAGTGTACTTCGCCTCAAGCCACAGCGCGTGTAGTGGTTCCATAAGTTCGTCTGGGAATCTGTGAGCTAGAGCCCTCTGCAGGCGGTTTGCTTGAGTTTCCATGCCATCAGCCGTTCGAAGCAAAATGAAAGACTTCATCAGATCTTCATACGATATCGGAGTGGGGTAGGCGAAGCTAGACTCTTGAGTGTTTGTCAGCGACCTGATTATGTCGTCATAGTTCCAGCGGGTAAACGGAGCTCGTAGTTTGTTGCTCAGCAGCTGCACAAACTCCGCCGTGTTGAAGGCCTTTTCCTGATCGACAAACTTACCCTTTTTCACGCGGCGTAAGATGCCGTTGGTGAGAAATCTACCGTGGATCCTTCCCAAAAATCTCTCAGCTCCGCCCAGGATTGATTCTCCTACAATCGACTGCAGCCCATTTCTCTCCTAATTGCGCTGGACTTGGAGCAGAGCATGGTCGCCTGGTATCTCAACCCTCGACGGGAGGGACAGAGTCTTGTTCGTGTAGGAAGAAGTGGAGAACGTGGTGTGGGCAGCAACTTTGGCCTGATCACCGGCAGCGGTGAACACTCCAGTAGTTCCGGTTGCAAATATGACCAATGCCGTGAGCACATACCTGAGCAAGTGCATGGTGTACCCGTTGGCTGTCAAGCACTTTGCAAAATGAGGAATGCATTTTGCGATTCCTTTTGGCCGCTATTTCGTGTGGCCAGACCAGAATTGTCTTGATGTGCTCTTCCTTTCCTATGTGATTGGGCATGTACTTACTTACTCTGGGCTGTAGAACGAATCTGACAGGGTTGCCGTTGCGCAAGAGCGAGCGGGCTGGCTTCGTCAAATCGGATTTCATCTTCATAAACTTTGTTTACGACCACGCGCGTGTCACGTGTACGTAGATGATCGATGATTTGAGCGAAACGATGTGACAGCGATCTCTTACGGAATGGAAGGATACACCATGTTGCCAAAAAGTCGACGAGAGGTCTGACGAAACACAGCAAAGTCATCAGATAAGGAAAGCGTCCTTCGCAGTTGTGCATTCTCTTTTTACGTCAAGGTGACCATCTGACCTGATGATGCAAAGTGCAGCTGAAGAAAGAGGCGAAAGAGCGTCAACAAAAAGACTACCGAAGCGCCAAAGAAAGCTCCATGTACAGTTTCGTACGTTTTGTTGGTGTTGTTGAAGCGGACGCAGCCCCCCATCATCACGTGCAAGTTCGGTTGCTGCCTCTGCGAAGCGGCTGTGCATTGGCGACAGAAGCTTTGCGGCCGGTCACGCTGTTAGGTAAGCAGCTTTTATTCAGCCTCGGATGACCAAACTGTTAGGCTGCAGCCGTGGGTACATGCAGCGCTCCGCGCGGAGGCTGTACGCTGCAACGGATGAGTAAATACAAGCAAGTGTGCAACTAGACACGTTACGATTAATTTAATAGAGATTGATGTAGCGGCGATCGCGACGAAGTAGGATACTAGTAGTTTGGTGCAGCACGTATCGCGAGCTTTTGCAGCGACGTTAGCAAACAGCTGACGTTATGCAGCATGTGTCGCGAGTGCGTTCATTACAAATTCTCTGCCTTGGACGAATTTAATGCAGTGAATGCGGAGACACGACAAAAGGGTTCACAGGTAGGTAGGTGGTCAATGCAACCTCAATGCACTTGGCATGTACAATATCACATAAGACGTTCATCAACCTACGTAAGTCCATCAAGCATACCTTTAGCATCGCGGTCCAATGCCACCAATGTCGAATTCTATGGTCTCTTTCACGTACTGGACAACCATTCACCGGCTCCTCGATCAAACGGACTCGTCCTGTTCTGGTTTCGGCGACAAACCCACGGTATTCACGAATCTGAATTTGATGTACGGATTAAAACTGCGCCGAGATGACAATGCTGCCACTAGGGGTACCATACACTGACTCCGCCTCTCTTGTGGACCATCCGCATTCCAGAATGATGCTGAATTACAGCTGCTCCAAAAAGGCTAAACCCGTACAAATGGTCCTGGCAGCTTCACTTGGCCCCAAAAGTCACGTAGCTGGCGCTGTTTATCCTATCCCAGCCAGCACGACGGTCTATGGGCTTCCGATGAGAAAGCAGGCAGAGACCTGTAGAGGGTTGCAGAGGGTTGCAGAGGGTTGCAGAGGCTTGTTGAGGCAAAGGTGCAAGGCGGAGACCGATGTACAGAGAAAGAGAGCTCATTTGCTTCGCACGTTTGCTTCGCACATTTGCTCGTCGTCGGTAGGCGATCAATTGAAACATGGTCAAGGCCCAGAGTAGGAATCCAATGTAGTGTCTCACTGGAGCCGACTATTTCTGTTCTGGAGGAGGCTGCGGGTGAATTGATGAGAAACCGACCGCGAGTGTCCCACGGAAGCTGACGATATTCCCGAGCAGCAAAAGCGCGGGCGCAACTGGGTCTGTAGTCAGTTGTTGTTCGGGCTGGATGGGATACCGCCCGACCTTGCACAAAAAACACCCGCCTGCTGATCGGCCGATCACGAGTCGGTCTCCTGACAGCTTTGAGTTGATGGCACCCATGGAAATCCACCGTAACATAGCGCAAAGAGTCTGTCGAAAAGAAGCACGCGTCGAGCATGCGCGACAGATGAAAGTGCCTACCTAAGCGTCGTCCGGCCACAAATGACACGCAGGCTCATACAAAGCGGATGCGCATGCAGTGTGCATGATGCCACATCTCGCGATCCAGTGCAACAAGTGTACCAAACACGCCAAAGATGGATACTGTGCAAAACTGTGTTATGTTGGACAAGACATAGTGTCGCTAGCAGACGTATGTACATCTGCCACAACAAAAGCCAAAACGTTCGGGTCCCGATGTCATCCTCTATTGGGTCGAAACGCAAGGCGGCGTCACTTGTACAGCATCGCCCAATCATTGCAGCAGAGAGACCACGAAAGCGGGAGGGGTCCAGCAAGTCAGCCTGATAGTCTGGCACACGGTCACAACCTGCAGCCGCAACGAGCGAGTCAAAGCTGGGGTTCTGGCCTCGAGACAGAAGCAGAAAACGAGACCGGCCAGATCGGCAGTATGCGGTCCAGGACGATTACGGTGATACGGGGCTGAAACAAATGCTTGACGGCGAACCAGCATGCCGGGGCAGTATGACGCGCTGCTCCACAACTGACAGCCCACTTCGTGTCGAGCCATATTTCCGGCATCATGGTGACATGCAGCTCCACAACTGACGGCCCACTTCGTGTCCAGCCAGATCTGCGGCAACATGGTATCGTCACACGCGCTCCCATGACAAGCGGCGCTTCACATCACCGTCTTTTCCGCCCCGACAGATCTTGGGGCGCATGACTACGTGGATGTGACGGCCCATCCGTTTTTGCAAGAGCAGTACGTCTTTCACTGCAGCAAACACAAACGCGAGTGGCATGGCAAGTAATCACCGCGGAACTTGCTTGGTCTTGATCGCTGCGGCCTGCGTGGTTAAATGTCCACGCTGTCTCTGTAACAGGGCAGCCCATTACATGGAATTGTCACTTTTCTTAAAGTGACAATAAAGAATATGAAGTTGAATATTCTTTAAACAATATCACCGAAGCGGTGATATTGAAGGGTCGACCAAAGGGTCTGTTCATTGGTTGATATCTTGATGATATCAACCCACCAATCGCCGCAAGACGCGCGCAATGAGTGGTGACGAGACGTCATCATACACTCAGTTATATTAACATAATTAAGTTAAGTCAAACAGAGAGACAGTGGTTAAAAGACTTAATTATATTATTTTAACAGTTCTGCTTTTACCCTACCTACGCTTCCTCGCTTGCCTTGTGTACGTCTGTCGGGGCACCGATACCCTTGCGTTAAGTTCACGCAAGGGTGTGCCCCGTTACACCTGGTAGCACTTTGTAGTCCTTCCAAGGACCACAACATCCAACATGAACATGTTGGATGATGAAGAGACCTTTCACGCCACGCGTGAAGGGTTTGACCATTTGAGTGACATAGAATGGAGTGCGGTAGAACGAATGAGTTCTACCGTACGCGAGGTCGCCATTAGCGCCATGTTAGAGTCTCTAGACAGAGACCAACAACATGCCGCTATAGCCAAGTTCATTCAAAATGAACTTGTCGCCGAAAGGGAGAAAGTAGCCTTGCTTCACCAGCAAGGCTCTCAACAGGCCGAGCAGTTGAGAGAACTCGGTGCTCGACATACAGAGCTGTTGAGACAGCAGCAATTCCATGCTGCTGTAGGCGGGACGGCACATGCGCGTCGTCCCGAAGTCATGAAGTTTGACATCTCAAAGTACAATGAAGTCCCGGAAAACTTCCTGTTACTGTGGTTTGTCGAACTCGATAGAGCCTTAAGGGCTCGTCGCGTCGAAGATGAGCAAATGAAACTCACATTTGCTCAAACCCACTCGGCAGGACGTGCCAAAACTTGGTCCCCGGGGCTCGAGAGTAGCAACCCAAATGTCTTTAGGTCGCTAGATGACTTCAAGTCCCGTCTCAGACAAATGTTTGAGCCGTCACGGGCTGAGTTTAGGGCTCGTTCAGAGCTCCTGAAACTTAAACAGGGTAAGCGTGATGTGCACGATTACGCTCAACATATACGACTCCTCGCGAGCAGTATAACTGCTAATTCAGTCCATGAACACACATTGATTACGGTGTTCATGCAAGGGCTCGCCGAAGGGCCCGTCAGGAGCCACCTGTTCCGCCTGGAGCTGAATACGCTGGAAGAGGCGATATCAGCCGCGGACCAGGAAGACTTTAGCATGGTACAGGCTCATGCTAGCTCAAACTCTTATCTTCCACCAAGACGACAAGAGATCGGAGGTCCAGAACCAATGGACCTCTGTTATATTGAGAGCGAGAGACCTCGCTCTTCAAACAACAAGCGATTGCAGAGGTGCAATCGCTGTCAGAAGTTAGGGCACTACGCATACGAGTGTAGTGCTCCACGCCCAGTAACAAACAGTACTGAGCGAAATGGACGACCATTCGCCAAGAAGGGCAATGGGAGTGGGTCCAGCGCTGTTGCGAAGCCGCAACAG